CGAATTTAAAACTGTAGTTCATACTCTATGTGCATACATATTGATACTTAGAAGTAGAAAGAAATATGGATTTTGACATCTTATATGGCACTTTAAACTATTTGTGTGCAGCCCCTGGATACTTTGAATTCTAATAAACATGAGTTAATTTTACACAAATATTCAATGAACCTTTAATAAAAGACTGTAAAAGTAGCCAAGCAGGTATAAAAGAATAGGACTTTGAAAATAAAATATTATCTTGTTGGAGACCTCCAGTGAGACTTTTAGAGAGGTTAGCTAAAATTGGCTTTTATTTGATTTGTGGGTGCTTAAACATTGCAGAGTTAATTTATCTTTAATTTGAGAATTCATTTTCATTTCCCTGCCTTAAAAATCTGAACAGTTAGCTAAATGTTCGTATGTGCTCTAAGAAATGGTGTTTCTTCCTTAATGGTGCAAAATCTCTTACTAGTTTTCATACTTGGCTTTTGGTCTAATCTCATAAAATTCTCCTTCATTTTAATGTATCCCCCCCGCCCCGACTACTGTGTCTGTCTTTATTGAGCTCATTTGTTAAAAGAATCACAGAATAAGAGTTGATGTCATATATGCCGAGTGTTTTTGGTCAGGAAGTAAATCCGTGTGTGTGTCCGCCTGTGTGTCGCAAGCCAGCGGAGCTCTTTGAAATGCGTCGATTAGAGATAGAAATGGTTGCAAAGCACAGTTCAAGTGCAACTTCTGATTCCACAATTTAAAAGTATTAAAAAAAAATGACACTCTACACTTACATCGCAGAACAGCATTATTGAGGTGAATTGATGTTCAGATTTATGTAATACAATTAAGTCAAATATTTTGGGGATCCCTATCTCTAACCATGAAGCCATGAGTAGCACACTTTGTACTTTGTCATCAGTCACCGAACAGTCCGTATAGTCTAATGTACAGGAAACCCTTCAGTCAAGATGTGCCTCTTCCCCAACTAAAACTTTGATGTTGTTAATAACTCATTTATAAGAATCTTAATTTTCTCTGGGAAATAATAAAACGGAGCCATTATATTCTCAGCTAAACCTATCCTTTGGTGAGAGAGGTGAGCGTAGAGATGAATGAAGAGTTATTAATCACCTCGTGGGGATGAACTTCAGAAAAGTCAAAGCAGAATTTCGATAAAAGTTAAAATTCTAGGAAAGTAAATCATCATTAGTGAAATGAGCCATATTAAAATACATAAGCGAAATGTTAGAGGGAAAAAACATTTTAATTCAGGTAAGCGTCTCTATAAAAAACAAGCTGTGAAATGATTAGAATATGTGTTTTTATTTGGGGACAATCATAAAATACACTCATATTAGAAAACCAGCAGGGCATCAAAATAGTGGAGATGATTCATGGGTAATACAAGACGTTATTACTTACTTCTTGGTTCCTTGCATCTGTGAAGAGCTGCTCCTCTATGCTCATGTCTGGCTCCATCCAATATTGAAGAGCAGACTCGCCTCTCTCTCTTCCTTTCTCTCTCTCTTTTTCTCTCTCTATCCCTGGCCTGGTTTCATGGTCCTTACACTACCCTTAGGACCAAGTCTCGCTCTTGTGGACCTGAGTTTTGGGGTCCTGGGGTGTAACGGCCATTGCTTTGTTCAGGGTAATCATCTTCTCAGTCATCACTTCCTCTGTGGAGCTCCAGTCTGACCCCTCAAGAGGCCTGTGCTCCACAGATGGGGCCGGGGGTGAGGGGTGAGGGGTGAGAGATGAGGGCACCCCAGAGCTTTAGCGACTCCGTTTTGTTCAGATAACAAATAATTGTTGAGCTTTACTATGAGCTCGAGAACGAAAGGGGCACAGGATAAATGGTGATAAATAAGAGCGATATAGTCTAGCCCTTGTCAAGCATAAAGTGACCTGGGCTTGAGACAAGGAGTTGAGTCTGTTGTAGTAAGCGCCGTGACAGGACAAATGCTAGGCATTGTTGGAGGGACAGAAAAGATTTCCTAGAGGAACCAGCATCTGGACTGACACACGTGAAGGATGACTAGGAGTCAGTTGGGCCAAGAGTAGGGAAATCACATTCCTACAAGAAAGAAGGCCATGTGCAAAGTCCTGGAGGTGAGCAGCATGGTGCGTTTGGACAGAAAGACAGGGCCAAAACTTGGGTGGGACTTAGAGTGGCGAGAGATGAGGCTAGGAAAAGCCGTAAGGGCTGATCTTAGGGCACTTAGATTTTATCCGTAGAGCTCTGATGACCATCAGAATATATTTTTTAAAATATACCTTTATTGATTTCAGAGAGAGGAGGGGAGAGAAAGAGAGAGAGAGAGAGAGAGAGAGAGAGAAACATCAATGATGAGAGTCATTGATCAGCTGCCTCCTACACGCCCCCCACTGGGGATCGAGCCACAACCCGGGCATGTGCCCTGACCAGGAATCGAACCCGGATCTCCTGGATCCTAGGTCGACGCTCAACCGCTGAGCCATGCCGGCCGGGCGACCATCAGAATATTAAAGCAAGATAGTGGCGTGATGGTGTGTGGTTTTAGAAAATCTCTGGCAACATGGTGGGAATGATTGGCAGGAGAAGGCTGGAGGCAGGGCACGGCCTAGTGGACTGTCGAAATAAGCTGGGGGGAAGATGGTATGGGGTAAGGTAGTGAGGACGGACCCAGAGAAAATTGATTTTGCCTTGGAAAAGACTTATTTCACTTAGTATAATACCCTCCAGGTTCATCCATGTTGTAGATGACAGCATTTCTTTCTTTTTTTAAGGCTGATTAAATTCCATCTTCTTTATCCATTCACCCACTGATGGTTACTTAGGTTGTTCTCATACCTTGGCTGTTATGAATAAAGCTGCAGTGAACATGGGGGCGGAGACATCGCTTCAATATCCTGATTCCATGTCCTTTGGATAAATACTCAGAAGTGGGATTGCTGAGTCATAAGGTAGCTCTGTTTGTGATTTCCTGAGGGCCCTCCGCACTGTCTTCCAGAGGGGCCGCCTCCGTTAGCATCCCCACCCCCGGGCACAAAGCTCCTTTCTCTCCGCACACTCACCTGCCTGTTTTAACGTCTGTTTTCGTATTTCTTTTGAATCTCTGAATATTGGCTCGTTGCTTGTTTTTGCAACTAACAAATGCAGACTTTCTCTGGGGTGGTAATAATGCAAAAACAGCATTGTTCAAAGAGGAGAAATGAGAAGAAAAGGAGGGACAGAAGTCAAGAGGAAGCATCTCAGAGAAGCTTGGGGAAAAGCTGTGCCCCAGGGCCTGGGCACTACCTGCCGGTCCTGCTCGAAGAGGCCCTCTCTCCCCACCCTTCGAGTTTCCTGCGTATGTTTCACTCACTTCCTTTGCTCTCTCCCTCCTATTATTCAAGCCCTACATTGGCCCAAAGGCCTTGTAGATTTAGTTTTTGGTGGGAAAGAAAATTGTGATTATTTCTCTGAAACTTCGCCTGACCCTCACGTCTTGGCTTCCACTTTCTATGCTTCATCGAGGCCTGTGCACGAGGAACCTTTGGGCCATTCTGGTCACAGGCACCCAGAAGTCTTCATTCCCTTCAGTAAAAATGCCATGTGTTTCATAGCATTGCTGTCAGTGTTTGTTTTTTTAAAATTAACTCCACTTCAATTGAAGGGTTTTCTCATGCACTGTTTTCACAAGACCAAATAATAAAATTTAAATAGACATTTCTTCTTGAAGACACTTAAGTCAGTTGCTTTAACAACTAATAACATACCTTCACCAAGTTATACTCATTAGGAAATAAAGATATTTGTTGTTTTCCTTCTTCTGATATAAGTTGAAGACTTACAAATAGTTGTTAATGGTGTTTGGTTAAGAAGAATTTGTTTTCATTGTATGGGTCAAATATGTACCTATCAATTTTTTCTTGTTGCCAATTTATAAATTCTAAATTTTAATGTGGTTCAGGCAGGAGAAAACAATTTTGTTGCAAAAGGTTTGTATTAGGAACATTAGTCTGTTGTTCACCTCGTTAAGGGATGGATTCATTTGCACAAATCTGGAGAATTTTATGCGTTAAACATGTTAGTTCAGGAATTTCATGCGGTTCTATAAAGATACACATCTATAAGGGATGGCCAATCCAAACACCATTTAGTCAGCTGGCCTCTGACCCAGTTCAGCTCTCCCATCTCGTGGCTTGCAAAACAGCTGGCCTTTGGGAGAAAGAGTGAATCAAAGTAATTTTTGGTTCAAATAGTTATTGACTATTTTCTCCTGAAGCTTAATATAAATTCATTTTCTTAGAGTTAAGATAAATCAACATTTATATAACACCATAGGAGACCAGACACTAAAAGTTTCTTTGAGGTATCAGAAGAAGACACTTTCTTCTTAGAGTTTACATCTGCCCAGATAAACTTGTTTCTGGTTCTATTATTTCTCAATTTGTCCCTATTAATTTGGACAGTCATGAAAACACTATGCCTGGATATTTGAGGCGGTGTGTGGTCTCTTACTAAAGTTACAAGTTTGTAACCCTGCTGACTGACTGGCTGGTTCCTGTTACACATTTGAAAAATGCAGATGTTAATTTGATTTGACTCCTGTTTGTACAATGGCTTTTATCACGTATATCTAAAGATGGAGAACCAAGTTTTATGGGGCCAACACTTCTTATAAAGCCCCCACTCCCCTCTGCTCTAACCGGGATTGACCCTTACACCGAGCTGAACAGAGTCCTGGGGTCCAAGCGTTTGCTGCATGTTGCATCTTGCCCTCGGTCAATGGGAAATAGAGACTCAGGTAGAGACTCTGATAGAGGGTGGGGGTGGGATGTGTACTCCCCCCATTTATGTTTTCAAATGGGAAATACATTTAAAAATAGTAACCTATCATCTCCTGAGTCTAAATTCAGGACATTTTCCCAAGAGGTGTAAGAATGTAGACTTAGGTAAATGGGCTGAGCTAACAAACAACCTCCAGACAGCTTCACTGTAGATAGTGACTGGCCGTTTCCTGAAAAAAATATTAATTCTGCCTTCTTGCTTTTAATAGGACATAATGACTACATGTGTCCAGCCACCAACCAGTGCACAATCGATAAAAACAGGAGGAAGAGCTGTCAGGCCTGCCGACTGCGCAAGTGCTACGAAGTGGGAATGATGAAAGGCGGTAGGTCTCGGCGGCACGTGGCCGCCACCCCGGGCTGGCCCTTTCTACCCCAGTAACTGTCGGGGGTCTAGTGTTTTCTCTTCTAATGAAGCTTTTTCCTATTCTTATTTTTCTGTGCAACAAAAGTATTTTTATAACATTTTATTTTAAAAAATAGGAAGTGGCTGAACTGGAAATTCTCACATTCCATTTTGTGTTTTATAGTTTACATGTAAATAATATTTGAAATCAAAGGTGTATGGGAGGTGGTGGTGGAAGGAAAGAAAGACTGCTTAGTGAGTTATTCTAGAAATACCCTTCAGTTACTGTTTATACTGCTAATGCTAGAGAATGGGGTCTGAGAATTAACTTCCCCTAAATTGAGACTTGTACATATGAAAGCTAAATAACTCATTTATAATCTAAAAAATCTCTTAGGGGATTTGAACTTCAATCTAAAGGCAGCTTTTTCCTTTAGAAGCTGAATCATTCAGCAACTCCCATAATCTCAGCATCTAGCATGGTGTCGGGTGCTGTGAAATGAGCACTGAGCACTGAGCACTGAGCAATCACAAGCCCTCAGGATCTGAGCCCCTGTACTGGGGTCTTTGTGGCTGTGAGTGTTGTGTACATGCGGTTTTCTGTCCCCTCGTGTATCCAACCTTCCAGTTTTCTTGTACGGGAATTCAGGGTCTGGTTCTGGGGGTAGGTGCTTCATAAATGTGGTTGCCTGTAGTCTTGAAGAACACTGCTTGTAGTCTTGGGTAGCCTTCAAAATACAGGGAAAGAACACATAGGAAGTGGGTAATTAAAACAAGGTCATGGGTGCATTTAGTGGTTCGAGATGAGACCAAGGATTGGGGGGGACGGATGATGGGCTGCCTGCTGATCACAATAGGGAAAAGCTTTCCGAAGGAGACAAGGCTTGGGATGAGTTAAGAAGAACAAAGTTGCGATGAAAAAGAGTAGTGATTACGCAGATAGAGGGCAGCTAACCTCCAGCTCATCAATACTTGGACAAAGGGGGAAGTGAGCGAAACCAAGACGAGATCAGGAGGAAGGCGCGTCTGGCTGTTGCGAAACTTATGGTCCAAGATTCTTGGGTCCCATGGTCAGAAATAAGCCCTGCCATGTTGAGATTGTGATACAGCATTTGGAATAAGTCCTCCTGATGAACAGGTGAAATGCTGAATCCACGTATTATGTGAGGTGTGACTATATGTCTTGAATGACTGAGAAAGCAGCTTGAATTTAAAGGGTAATTAATTCCAAAAATTTAACAGCCACATTAAGAAAGTGATACTTTGAGTCATAAGTGGATTAAGTATTTAAGGAATTCGCCTTTCTTTGTATGGTTGGAGAATTAGTCAGGGTTAATTAAACTCACAAGAAGCTTTTTAAGGTAACTTGATAAGTGACAGGAGCATAACAGCTACATGTAAAAAGTTCAATTTGAAACAATGGGGTCCAAGTTGAATATTCTTTGGTGATTGTAGGTAGATTAAACCCAGTCTGGTACATTCTCTCTGAAAGCTGGAATAATAATTTGTGAATATGTCCAAAACATTTATTTTTTCTTTTAGGGTACCCACACATTGACCCCACTTCATAAAAACAATTCTGTTTTTCCTAATTAATATCCAGATACGGTCTGGCTGCATACATATAAATTATGCACACTCATTTTTAACCTAACAAAAATTTTGATATGCAAAGACATAATAAAAGTCTTCCCACTGTTTTCAAATAGGACTGTAGATAATTTAAGTGCACACAGCCAGTCTGTGTGCCCACGCATATAATTGTACATGCATATTTATTACTGCAAAATATATATCTGTATTAGTTTGCTGCTGTTTTAGTTTGCTTGGTCTGTCATAACAAAGTCTATAACCTGGACAGCTTAAACAACAGCAATTAATTTTCTCACAGCTCTGGAAGCTAACATCCAAGATTAAGGTGCCGGAAAATTCAGTTTCTGGTAAGACCTTTCTTCCAAGGCTTTAGATGGCTGCCTCCTCGCTGTGTCCTTTAATGACCTCACCCATCCTGGTGTCTTTTCTCTTCTTATAAGGACACCCGTCATATTGGATTAGGGCCTCACCCTTATGACCTCAATTAATCTTTATTACCCCTTTAAAGACACTATGTGAAAATATAGTCACATTCTAAAGTACGGGGATTNTATATTAGGTTAGGGCCTCACCCTTATGACCTCAATCTTTATTACTTCTTTAAAGACACTATGTGAAAATATAGTCACATTCTAAAGTACGGGGATTGGGGCTTCAACATGAATTTGGGGAGCAGAGGACACAATTCGGTACATATCAATATTCCATCAAGATTCCTCAGTGGTTGTTCCGTATCTGTCTGCATTTAAGGAAAACATGTGTCATCCTGGCTATTTATATATGTGTATAAGTTTTATGCCAAGCTCTAAAGTTATAAAACTATAAGCTGTGAGCACATCTCATTTTAATTATATGTATAAAGTATTTGCCATAAGGCAATATAATTTGTTACACTCTCTACAACATGGGATACCACACATAACNCGGTACATATCAATATTCCATAAAGATTCCTCAGTGGTTGTTCGTATCTGGCTGCATTTAAGGAAAACGTGTCATCCTGGCTGTTTATGTATGGGTATAAGTTTTATGCCAAGCTTTAAAGTTGTAAAACTATAAGCTGTCAGCACATCTCATTTTAATTATATGTATAAAGTATTTGCCATAGGCAATATAATTTGTTACACTCTCTACAACATGGGATACCACACATAACCTCATGACACCTTGTGTAAAGACTCCCTAAATCCCACTGAATAAAGACTTATTTAGGGAAGTGCAACTAACCATAAAGCTTGAAGTTATTTGGAAAGAACAGCTGGGAATGAATAAATCTTTACACTATTTTCCTGCTGGTTTAATGAGAATCCAGTNCTACACTATTTTTCTGCCGGTTTAATGAGAATCCAGTTTCTTAACCAGGCTAGATACCAATTAGAATACTGAATCTCTATCCATGAAATCAAATGCTTATTTTCAGATAAAAGAAAGAACCACATACCTACCCCTGATTTAATGGCAAGGCAGACTAAGTTTATTGAAGTGCCCTGAAGGTTCCTTAGGGTGCCTGATTTACTTACCCGAAGACATTATTTCACTCTGCTATGATGCCTACTGCCCCCTGATAATCTCAACATCATTATTAGATTTGGTTCTGAGCCAAGGCAGTTCAGGAGCATACAGGAGTTAAGATGAGCTTTAGGGGATGTGTTTTCTCAGCTTAGTGCGTAAGCTGGTCTCTCTGCCTTGGTTGCCTTATTCTCTCATGGGTCTGCCCCTCACCTTCAGCCTTGGATGGCAGATTGAATGTCTCCTCTTCAGGGAGGCCTTCCCTGGTGCCTCACACTGGATCAGCTCCATGTGTTCTACCTTTCGTAGCAAACAGCTCTTCTCATGAGCTCCCGTCATTATNTGTGTGTTCTACCTTTCGTAGCCAACAACTCTTCTCATGAGCTCTTGTCATTATTATTATTAGTTGATCAGTGTCTGTCTGTCATCTCCATCATGACAGGGGCTCTCTCTGTCTGGTCTATTGATCTAGCACTAAGCAAGTCACAAAGTAAGTCTTCAAAAACTTTTTTGCATGAATTAATAAATAAACTCAATTTACCTAAGCAGTTATTTGTTCATGGTTTCTTATGTGTAAGCTATTTTGGAGAGAGCAAGCATGAATGAGACCCTAGTCCCTTCTGTCAATGTCCTCACAGGACAAAGAGGACAGTTGGCATATGGAATGGCAAATACAGATCCAGAAAACAAGTTGACACTGCACTGAAAGATGAGGTTATGAACAGTAGGCCAGTGGTCATGGAAGTTCAGAGCTTTAGACAAACCCTCCTGGGATTAGTCCAACCCAGGATCTTCCTCAGACTCTCTAACTTCCAGCGTGTAGATTGCTTATGCAGGAATTTGGCATTCGGTTTGGTTTGGTGGGAAGGGGAAGACTTCAGGCTTGGAATTTCTAGACTAAATACCGGCTTGCCTTGCAGTCCTGCTACGGCCACTTTCATGAGCTTCGCTATCCTCAGATGTAAAATAAATGACCGCAGGCAGCCCAGTTCTTCTTCCTTGTAAGAACCAGGCTACCTTCAGATGTCTCAATGTAGATTGAGCAACTTTCTTACAAATTTGGCAGAGTAGACGACATCAGCTCAATTCAACGATTGAAGCCCTACTGACACTCCATCAAAACTGCTTTTGTCAGGGTTACCAACAACCCCCTGGTAGCTAAACCCAGCAGCAGTCACTTCTCGGTCTTCATCCTGACCGATTGGAAGCATTTGACTCAGGGGATAATTCTCTCCTTGTTAATGTTCATTCTTTATTTGGTTTCCAGGACAATACACTCTGAGTTTTCCTCCTGTCCCACAAGCCACTCTTTCTAGGTTTTCCTTGTGTGTTTCTCATCTTCTGTCCTGGCCTCTTAATGGTAAAGTGGCCCCAGGCTTAGTCCAGGGGCCTCTGCTGTTCTCTCTCTGTACCCACTCCTTGGTAATACTCTGTTCCCATGGCTTAAAATACCATTTATGTACTGACAACTCTCAGTTTCACTTATACCTCTAGCCCAAACCCTCTGCCAAGTCCTTGGCTTCTAGGTACAACTGCTCATGTGTTTTCTTCACTTGAGTGTGTCATAAACATCTCAAACTCAATTTGTTCAAACCTGGATCCTTTATCTTTCCCCTCAAATAGGCTTTATCTGTAACCTTTCTCATCTTTGCTAATACCTTCATCTTTTGAATTGCTTGGGCCCCAAGTTTGAGTGATCCTTGCTCATTCCTTTCTCCCATACCTCACATCCAGGAAATCACAGTGGCTCTACCTTCAAATATTTTCAGAATCTGACCACTTCTCTCCACCTTTACTGTTGCCCTCCAGTGTGAATCACCACCATCTTTCTCCCCGTTTATTGCTGAAGCCCTACCCGATTTTTTTTCTTGCTTACCT